GCAGTTCAAGGTTGTGACGGGTTGCGCGGCAGCCGGCGCACCAGGCGCCGCGCCGCTGCGTAGCGCCGCCGAGGCTGGTCCAGCGGACGATGGCACGGCGCGCGGGGCCATCCGGGAGCAGCTCACGATCCGCCGAGGTGAACTCTCGCGCCAGCTCAGGAAGCTGGTCAGTACGCTCACGAACGATGGTACACCCGCCATGAGAAGTATGCAATACGCTGTTATTATGTGACGTTCTCACAATCCTGAGCTACGATAGGGGTGCGTTCTCCCACCCTACGATAGCAGTTAGCTGCTCGCACTCTGCCGGACGTGTTTGCGAGCCATGGTCAAGAGCGGGGCTTACGGCGCCGCAGGGCAGCGGGGCCGCGACGGACGCGACCTGCCCCAATCTGCGCCATTGAGCGCCGCCTTGGCGTCCGTGCGGCCGGCCTGCCGGCGCGGGAGGCCGATCGTTACCGGCGCTGGGCGGCGCCGAGCCGCGCTGGCCGCGGCCCTGCTGACCGTCCGGCGCCTCCAGTCGACGAGCCGCCCGGCCGCCGCCACGGCCCGAGCCTGAGCCTGAGCCGGAGCCGGAGTCGGAGCCGACGGCGCCCGATCAATACCCGCCCAGCTCAGATGGCGGTGCATGAGTTGCAGACGCCCCGAGCGTCAGGGGCGTGGCCACCGCCGGCCGACAGGTCCTCGGGCCGGCCCCGGCCAGCCGCGACATGGATGCTCCGCTCCGCTCGCCTGTCTGGACGCTCCGGAGCGCCGTATCCTGCGCTCCTCGCACGTTGCCGTGCGAGGATGGCCGCCTGGTGCCTAGGAATGCCGGGCAGTTGCCTTCTCGACGGATCTGCATGCCTTGCGCAAGCTTCCCGGACTGATGCGATCGGGCGCCGTGACATCGAGCCATTTGACTCGCAAATGGTGCAGGCCTTGCACACCCCTGACAGGTCAATGTCTCGCCCGGTGCCGGGCCGCGCGTGATCGCGTCTCCAAGCGGCGCCAGTCGCAGCGTAGCGGCCTGTTCCGCCACCCTGTCTGCTGCCAGCAGTCCGCCCTGCTCCTCTCGGTGGTGCCCCTCTGGCTGCGCCAGCGGCCACGGCCTTCTTCATCTTAGATCGGTCGCAGCTTCTTCGAACTCAAGTGATGGCTGTGCTGAGGTCGCTGTAGTTTAGTGAATTTTGCCTGCTAAAAACTATGGGATTTCGTTGTTCTAGAAGAAGCAGGTGATCGTGATTCTAGAAAGTAGCTTGCAACGGCTACAGAAACGGAATGCCCGAATCATCGCTTCTTTTGCTTTGCTTTTTTTGTAGCACTGAAGGCTAAACGCCGTAATGAATGCTTCAGTGATGCAATTATAATTACGTGACGCTCATCTCGCGCTGGGCCAGTGTTGGGACCAAAACTCCATAGAATTACTACAGCGTAGACAAACTCTCGACAAAGAGAACAAACAAGAAAATCACACTGCACTCGAATAAAAATTCGGAACTCGAAACTCGACTTACGACTTTGGACTAAAACTGGAATATATTAGCGTACGCCCAATGTGACTCCTGACTAGATTAAGTACGTTTTACAAGGTCTCATGGTACAGTTATGCAAAACCTACACACCGTTTGGGCGGCCCACGTTTTCTCCCATTTTGCGTCCAGGTGTGTTACGCTTTGTCCACCTTCTAGCCTGTCGTATGCAGCAGATTTTTTTCTTCGAACTGCATGGATGTGCGACCAAAACAACATGTACACGGGGTGTTGCATTTATTACATAGGTTTGGCACGGGCACGCCTATAAAATCACACACCACTTGATGACGCCAGGGGCTGCGAGTACCTACAAACTCTCCCACTGCAATGTACAAGCCAAGCACTATCCGTTGCCACCCGCTAAGCGAGACGGCGGCGGAGGGCCGCTGAAGGGCAACAGTCCCACCGCCATCACGTCCTCCCCTCGGCCTGCAGACGCTTGGAGCGTCCAGGCTCACGCTCGCGCCTCTGCCCGCCCTCCGGACACGGCAGCTATCAACCGACGGCCAGCACACGCACACACGCAGACAGACAGAGGGGGAGAGAGGGAGAGCGAGGCTCTGGACCGCCGGACCTGGGGCCCGAGGGGAGAGAGCGCGAGGCTCTAGACCGTCGGACCTGGGGCCCGAGGGCGGGGAGGTCGGGATGATGCTTGGGGCCGGACTCGGCCGGGGCCGCCGCCGCCGTCGCCGTCGCCGCCGCCGCCGCCGCCGCCTGACCTGCCTCACGACCGGCCTCCTGACGCCGGCGGCGCGTGCGCGCGGCTCGCGGCGGCGGCCCAGCCCCCCACCCTCTCATGCAGAGAGCGGGAGACAGGGAGAGCGCGCGGAGGGAGCGGGGTGCCGGCGTCTGCGACGCCAACCGCGGCCGTAATGATTGGCCGACAAAATCAATAGCGAGTTTAGCCACGCGGTGTGGTTCATGAGGGGCGGCCGCGCCAAGTTGGACTTAGGCAGCCGCGCTCGATGCCACGCCAGTTTTTGAACTGGGGAACGGCAGGCACCACTGAACAGGCCGCGACCTAGGGTCATTTCGGACTACCTACGGCGTGAATGCTCCCATGTGCAAGTGCGTCAGCATGCCGGCGGCCGCACTGCGACCGCACTTGGTGCGACTGCACCACGTCCGCTCGCGTGAGCCCACGTGTGGATGACCGGAGGGCTGTGCTCAGCACGCGCCCACGTGTACCCCCGCGTGCTAGGCACGGGGCGGGGGCTCGGGAGGGAAGCGGGCCATGGGGCAGCGTTGAGCGTTCGATACAAACGACATTACTCCAAGAGCTTGCACCTGGAGGGAGGATATTTTGATTACGCCTCGTTTCATAGAGGAGCCGCGAGCACTGCAGGTGGTACCACACGCAGAGGCACAGCGCCGTCACGCACAAGGAAAGGGTCTAACATGAACGATAGAGGAGAGCTTCAGGCATACAGCGTAAAACTGGCAGTTTCTAACGCGCGGTACGGAGCAAACCTTAATTTCGCCGACACATAATCCAAGCTGAATATCGTTACGGACATTGAACGTACAACCTGTCATCAAAGGTCACCACACATAAATCGCCAACGGATAGATAGCCGACAGAGGTCAAAGCGAAAAGGAGCAAACAGTGATCGTACAGCACATGGTGAAAGCTCCACACTACAGTGCAATCTGAAACCATCACCGGATCAGCCCAGTCTCAGCCATCCGCAATCAGTCCGCCGCACAGCTGCGACCACCCCCAGGGGCGCAAGCAATTCCACCGGCGCTCCTCCTCACACGGGACAGCACTTGTACGCTTCGGCGACGGCATGTCTGCGATGGCCCGCCAGACATAACGATATACTAATGCCGACGATAAATGCCGATAGTGAAGAAACGAACGGAAAAGAGCACGCTCGATCGTCACAGGCGTGGTCGCCAACTATTCTGAATACGACCGGCGCCCGCCGCCAAGGCTCACATTCGGAACACGGGCGGCTCCGTCTCACCCCCGGCCTAACCTAATACAACAAACAAAGGAATGCCACAAGACTAGACCTATCAACAAACATGCCCTATCGTAAGCTTCTCGTATGCTCCCTCGGATGGTGGCCTCGGCGCGCGCGCCGTTCGCCGCGGAAGCGACACGAATATCTGGGGGGCCGGCTGTCGGATGGGAGTGATACGGGGCGGCGACCGCCGACGGCAGCGCCCGCCTGCTGCCGGCGAGGCCGTCCAACACTGCTGAGGCGGCGGCGCGGTGCCCGCGATGCGGAACACTGAACGTCGGCTCAGTTTTTGCTGCGCCGACTGCAGTTTTCTCTTTATCCCGGTCAGGGCATTACGTTAGCCTCGCAAATATCACGAGATGAAGGCGCCTCTGCCGCTGACGGTCAGTGATGACCTCAGGTCAGGCACACGCACGGCCCTGCTCCGTCCTCCAGCTGAGCGTCAGACGGAGCGGGCCGGGCTGGCACAGCCGGCGTCGCATCCGCCGCCGCAGCCGGAGCCGGCCGGCACAGCCGGGCAGCCCGGCGGCGGCGGCGGCGGCAGGCCGACGCCAGCCAAACGCCACACGCCGGCCGCCGTAATTAATGTGCGATGGCAGGCGGCCACCGCGCCGCACCATGAATCATGCAATTTATTGCAGCCGCGCCGCTGCCAGCGGCCGCCGCCAACTCTATTCCGGGCCTGCCTCAATAACAATGCAGTTGCAGGGCCTAGGCGGGGCGGCATGGCGCGCGCGCGCGCGCGGCGGCGGCGGCGGCGGGACCGCCGATCAATGCCATAGAGGGGCGGCCGCCGGCGCCGCCGCGCCGCGCAGCGCCGCCCTCACCTGGCCAGGGCGCCGCGGCGTGTAGGAACGGCCGGCGTTCGGGGCTGCTGCGTAACAGGGGACTGCCCGGTCGGGAACTGTTGTGAGGTAGATCGGGTGATGTATCGGCGTTGTACTGAGGCGGTCGGTGCGGTGGCGCGCGCCGCCCGACGCCGCGCGCTCGGCTGGCTCTGTGGCGGCGCGTCCGCCCACTTATGGAGAGACAACAACGGAAATAGTGATTCACACAACACGCCGCTTCAGAAGCTGCTCGTGCACTCTGCCCGCGCGGGCCCCGCTTCGCCGGGCCCGCCGGTAGCGCACGTCGCCGTCGTTCGTCTATCGCCGGCGGCTAAGTACGGGTCGGCCGGCGGCGCCCTACCCCGGGCGGCCGCCGGCCGACCGCTGGCCCCTCGCGGAGGCCGCCCGCCCTATCTTTGGCACTTGGACTGACTTGACTCGACCTGGCGCCCGCGGTATTGCACGGTTCGGGAGTGGGACGTCGGGGTGGGCGGGGCGGTTGGGAGGGAGAGTGGTTGCGATGGGCCGGCTAGAAAACGTCGGTGCCGAGGCGCCCGCGCTTGAGCGGCGCGCCGTGCACGACCACCTCGTGGCGGCGCCGGTACCACTTGTTCTTGCACACCTTCTTGCAGAGCGAGCACTCGACGCCGGCGGAGCTGGTGTGCACGTTGACAATGTGCTGTTTGAGGTTGAACTTGTTGGAAAAGAGCCCGTTACATATTGGACAGACGCGCGGCTGGCGCGAGCTCCACTGGCGACTGCGCCTCTCTTCCGCGCCGGCCGCTGAAATAGCAGGGAGCCGGCTGGTAACGCTCCCGAGCGTGCCGAGCCAGCGCAGCGTCCGACGGGATAACGCAACGGCCGCTGCAGGCGCGAGCCGGCTAGCCCGACGGCGAGACGCTGAGAGCCCTCGCCTTAGCCGGTACGCTAGAGAAATTTCAGAGAGCTGAAGAGCTTTTCTCACGTTGAAAGTTACGAAATTTTCGGAATGCTTAAGGCCTTTTTCCACTGTTACGTTACCAAAAATTTAGTACTATTTAAACGCCGGCAGAGCTGTTGTGACGAAACTTTCCATTTACGCACGCGCTATTGGTTAAGCTAACTGAACGTAGAACTATGAGCGGGTATGGATGCCGATAGCAGAACATGCCGAAGATACTGAAGAAGGGTCACAAACTAGCTAAGCTCTAGCTCTTCGAACATCCATGCCAGACGAACAACAGAGTCGCGCCGCGCCGCCGCGCAGCGCGCGCCAATCCGTCGCAACATCCTACGGGTCCAGGCGGGGCGGGAAGGATCGCCGTCATGATGGAACGCGCTCGGTCAGCCAAGTCAGCCCATGGCCAGCGGCGGCCCCAGTCATTCCGTGTTCACCATGCTGCCGTCGGGCAGCTTGACGCGACGCAGCGGCGCGTTATGCGACTTCACCATGTGCTTCCTCAGGTACCACTTGTTCTTCTGCACTTTGCCGCACACGTCGCACTTGAGCTCGTTGCCGAACGTGTGCACGTTGATGATGTGCTGTTTGAGGTTGAAGGCGTTGGAGAAGGTGCGCAGACAGTGGGGACAGACCGAGGGCTGCATGCAGCGCCAGCGCTGCCGGTACCGTGGCGAACCGGCGCGCAACAGCATTTGGGCATCTGCAACGACAGAGCAGAGCGCGTGTTACTGAGGGCGCCGCGCGCCGCGCCGCCGGCTGCGGCCGCGCCGGCGGCCGACGGCGCTCTACGACATGCGTCGCTCTGCCTACGCTCGGTCGGACATGCGGCTCTGGCGGGGCGGCGGCGGCGGCGGGGCGGCGGCGGCGGCGGCGTGCGCACACTCACCGTACGACATCTGCTGATCGTCCGGGCCGGCCGGCGGCAGCGCCGTGGCGGTGGCCAGCAGGGAGCTCGTGCCGGGCTGCGACAGGAACGGGAACCCTGCGGACGGCGCCAGCTCCGGTCAGCACGCGCTGCGCCGGCCGACGAGGCCAGCTCGAGGACGCGCCGCTAACGGTCGAAGCCCGCCAGAGGCAATCCCCGGCTGCCGGGTGACGTTGCGCTACACGGGATCTGCTCAGGTACCTCTCGAAACGTCACAACATGGAAGGGGATGCCCTCCAACTCACTCGGTCATGCCATCTATCTTGACCGCATATTCGATCCAGCATGATACTGTTGTGATGGTGTTAGTAAGACCATAGATGACCCGAAAACGAGCTATGCTAGCCAATAAGCTGGCTACAGATTCTTAAGTAAATCCCAATGCTCTGCATGCAGTTCCAGACGGAGGGAGTTATTCACAAATGACTCATGACATCCAGCTATCGGCCGCAGACACAGACCCGAACGCCCGTCGCCTCGAGCGGCGCGCGGTGCGGCGCCGGCACGTACCGATCGACTCGCGGCCCACCATGCTGATAGCATTCGGGTCCATGAGGAGCGGGCCGGGCGAGAGCTTGGCGTGCTCGCCGGCCGGACTGCCAGGCCCGTTCGTCTCGACCTTGACCGGCTCGAGGTCGGCCGAGCGGCCCTCGATCCGCTGGCGCAGGATGGACGTCTCGGTGACGAGGCTGAGCGCCTCCTCCTGCGCCAGCTCGCCGCCGTCAGGCCGCGCCAGCCCGTTGTGCGCCGCCGCCGCCGCCTCCGACGGCGACGACTGCGACGGCCGCGACGGCGAGCTGGACGTGCCGGGCAACTCGGCGCCGCCGCCGCCGGGCGCCGCCGTCGAGCTCGGCACCGGCGTGTGCAGCGGGTAGAGCGGCTTGCGGCGCTTGGCCGGCGGCAGCGGCGCGCTCGATTGCGTTGGCCGCGGCGCCTCCTTGAAGGAGGGCGCCGGCGACGGCGTGCCGGAGCGCGGCTGCGGCGAGGGCGCCGCCGCCGCCGGCGCCGACTGGCTGGGCGACGACTGCGTGGCCGGCTGCTGGCGGGCGAACGGCTCTCCGATGCAGTGCTCCGAGAGGCCCTTGATCTGCAGAAACTCGGCCGTCTTGAGGAACTGCGTCAGACGCTCCTGGCCGATGTACACGACGCCTTGGTAGACGAAGCACATGAGGGACAACAGGTCGTCGAACGAGACGTCCTTCAGCACGATGATCGGATGCGAGCACGGCGTGGTCTGAAAGCGAGAGGTGGCGCGTGACAGTGCGGGTCGGGTGCGGGGCAGACAGGTCAGTGGGTCACGTGGCAGTGGCGTGCCGTCAAACGCCACACTGCGCTGTCCGACCTCCGATTCCAGAACGCGAGCCGCATCCAATATCGCACTGCAACTGTAAGCCGCCAGTGCCCATCAAGAGAACGATGACCACAATCAAACCATCGCGGAGAACTAGGCGGCGCCTCGCAACGCCGGTACAGCGGAGAGGCGTTCACATCCGCCGGATGGCCGCGCTGATGAAGAGCTCGTCGAAGGCCGTCAGGGCAATGTCCAACGCCACTTTTTGTCGAGCCGTCGGCGTCACGTCAGACTCGAACGGAGAACCCTCCAAGGACGACAGGTGCACGCGTGCATTAAAGCCGCCAATGAAGTGACGAAAACGTGCACAAAGATACATTTGGCGCGATAATGCACCAACCAAGTTGAACAACACATGCTGCGTGGGGGGCCGGCTGAGCGCAAATGGCAACGATAGTCGGGTGCAGAATGACGGTATTAATAGTACCCTAACGTAAGAAATACTTCCTACGTTGCATGCTCTTTTCGTTATGCGTATTATAGTGCAATATGCTGATAAGCTGGGCAATGTAAGTGCGCAGAACTAAGTCCAGGGTGTCAAAGAAGGCATAACCATTTCCAAAATAGCAGCCTGTCATGTAGACATATCGGCATGTATGGGGCATGCTTGCTGGTTTGTTGGCGAGGGAGATCACCTACTGCAGAGACCTTTTTGATACAGGTATGTGGTAGAAAAAATGTCCAAGCTTATTTCCATGTCAAAATCGAATGCAATTTCAGGCTGCCAACCGGGAGCCCAATACGTTGAAGGCCGTATTAGGTGTAACCGCTCGACGAACAGCCATTGAATGGGCCCACATGAGTGGACGGCTGGACCAGTTGTAACGGAAAGACGACGTTGGTGTTGATGAAGTTAGCTGAACACATGTCGAGGTTCGTTACCATGACTGCAACATACGCATCATCAGAGTGCCTGCTGTAAATCCTGGACTACCATCGTTCATCAGGAGGTACCATGTCGGCCTACATACTTCAAAATAAAAGAAGGTTTAACCCAGTCGTCTCGAAGACCACACTTCTTATCGTTAATCTAGTTGAAAATCGGACGTTGTTTGTGTGTATCTCCATGGCAACACCCAGACAGCTTTAAGGATACGATACGAAACCTAGCGCTTCAAGACCGAGGCGTAATAAACTATGACTGCTCTACCGGCAGCACCTGCACCCAATAAACGGTTGAAGGAAAGATACTTGAGTCATTGGCATCCGAAACACCTTGTTGATGAGCCTAATGGAACACACATTGATGTTCAATATTAGGTCGACAAGCTGTGCAATGCCGGGGGGCTGATTATAAATCCAGGGTATCAGACGCTGTGCTACAGTTAATTACGTGACCAGCAGCCAACGCGCCGTCCAACGTCGTTGAAAGTAAAGGAACTATTGAATCAGTGCAGGGAGGAAAAAAATCAGTTTGGAAAAGGAAAAGCTGCTGGCAAAACTAAATGGCTAGAGCCCTTCTAGCTTAATCGAAACTACATCCCTATCTGAAATGTTTTTCTACGTCACATATGTGCGTGGGTGATTTCCAAGGCCACCTTCTTCGTCTTAAGGAAGAAATGGAATTACGGCAAAAATGAATAAGCTTACTAATGGTCCTAAGAAGCGCATTTATTGCGATATATATATATATATATATATATATGCATACATATGCATATGCATGTATACATGCATATATATACATATATATGTGTATATATATATATATATATATATATATATATATATATATATATATACATACATTTAAATTGACATGTTTGTAAACATATACATGTATATACATGTATGTATGCATCTACCTATCTATATGTAAACGTGCATCTCTGCGGGAATGCAAACTTCGCCGGATCAACTGCATATGCAGCATTGTCGATGTTTCTGCGAGCAGGACTGTGACTATTGTTGAGTACGCTGCACAGATCGCGTCTCGCTATTGGCGGTGCTCGACAGCGGGGGTCGCCACTCAGCGGAGAACTGCCAACATAGCGTACGCATTCGATGTAAAGTTCCCTCTTAAGACGGCTGACCTGCCTCCCGCAGTGTCAGCCGCGGCATCCCCGCGGCCGCAGCGTCCGGGGCAGACTTCTGCGCTCGGTGGTCGTGACGTCAGAGCGCCCGCGCCGCCGCTGGGCGCGGGCCGGGGCCGGTCGAAGATGGCGGCCGGCGCCGCTGCCGTCGGCCGCTGGCCTTGTGTACCGTTCCCGCGCTATGAAAGACGGCGTGCCGCACATGCGCGAGCCCAGCCACCACCCGTCCCGCTCTCGACACCGGCAGCCGGGCGGCGCGCACCGGAGGAGGCCGCTCCTCCTCCTCTTCATGGACTGTTCTTCGTTTTCTTGATTGGACGCGGATAAACCATCGTTTCTGAGGTGTGCATGTGCGCTGAGAATGCCGCTTTAATTCCTGGGCTTTATGATGTCACTTTTTGCGCTATCCATTCGCTCTCAGGGCTGCAGCATGTCTGGAAGGCTTTGGTTCCAGCACGCAACAACCATGCTCAGGCAGCAACATGGCTTCACCATGGGAAGCCGGCGTGAGTGTTGCGGCACAGCATTCGTAGGCGGCGGCCAAACCTGCACAAGAAGTGCTTTGCGGTACGGTATCCGCAGCGTAGCAGTGCGCGGCCGCGATCTGAGTTGGCACCGGGTTCAGCTTGGAATTTTTTGTAGCTGTGCGGTTCATATCCGTCCAGCGCCATGACGAACATACGGATATCAAGGCTCTACACAAGACCTGACCCGAAGAGCAGGAAGTGCAGTCTTACATCAGCGGCGACGGCCAGCCACAGATGACGTCACACGAAAGGTAAGCCCGCGACCGTGGAGAGTCGGGACCAGACGCAAAACAAAATGGACGGGCGGCGGCGGCGACCGGCTGCCCAGGAGAACAGGTCGCCGTGCCGCCACGGAACGAGTCCGCCGGGCTTAGAGACAGACGACCGCCCGTCGGCTTGCGCCACCGCCGAGCCGACAGCTGCTGCCAGCCGGGACCGGGCCGACGTCCACTCTCTGGACCCGCACCGGGCGGACACCCGCAGCCCTGACAGCGTGGACACTTCGACACGGGACTCAACGGGCTTCCCTGCCGCGGACCGGTCGGACGCCAAGCCCGCAGAACCGGACGAACGCTCTCAGCCCGCACCGAAGAGACGTCCACATGTTGGACCGCACGGCCGCCACGAACCCAGGCCGGGCGGTCATCCCTACGCGGGGACGGCTGAGCACGCGCACCGCGGACCGCACGGTCTCTCCATCCAGCGACGGATGCGGCTCATCCCTCCCCGGAAGAATCCCCAGCCTTTCCCAGCGCGTGCACCGTTCGGAGCGGCGACAGGGCCAGGCTGGACTCAGGCCCAGCCGGCCGTGACCCCTACCGGGTAAGGCTGATACTTCAGCCGGGTCAGGCCGTGACCTCTGGCGGGTCAGGCCATGACCTCTCCCGGATCGGACCGACATTCCGGGTCAGGCCTTGACCTCTGCCTGGTCAGACCGCGACGCGTTCCCGGCGCTGCCTGCACAGGACCGCACCTCGCGGTCGACCGGGCCAGGCCAGGTCCCGCCGCCGCCTATTTTTGTCCGCTGCCCGCGCGCGCGCGCGAACATGGCGCCCTGTTTGTATGCGTGTGTGTGTGTGTGTGTGCGGGCATGTGTGACTCCCCAAGGTCAGCGCGGCGGTGTTGCAACCGTGCAGGGAACGGGGAAGGGGAGGGGTGGGGGGTGGGGGTCGCCCGGCAGCAGCGCGGCGAGCCGGATAGCGCCGATAGCGAGCCTTCCGTCCGGGCCTGCCGGGCCGGCCCGGGGAGGAGGCTGCACGGCAAGGCGGGACGCAGGCCCTGACGGACGGACAGGACGCGGATTCTGACGGACAACCAGGCAGGACGTGGGCCCTGACAGACGGCTGGGCAGGACGCGGGCCCTGACGGACGGCCGGGCAGGACGCGGGATTTGACAGACGGCTGGGCAGGACGCGGGCTCTGGCGGGCGGCCGGGCAGCACGCGGGCCCTGACAGACGGCCGGGCAGGACGCGGGCTCTGGCGGCCGGCCGGACAGGACGCGGGCTCTGGCGGCCGGCCGGGCAGCACGCGAGCCCTGACAGACGGCCGGGTAGGACGCGGGATCTGGCAGACGGCCGGGCGGGACGCAGGCTCTGACGGACGGCGTGGTCATCTCTCGGCCTCCGGAGACCGACCCGGACACTGATAAGCGACGATAGGCGTCGGTCTTCAGGCGCCATGAATGGAATTTTCCATACATTCTAGAGGGCAGAGCAGGTGGGTACTCGACGGATGCTTCTGAATCGCGACCTTTCTGTGGGTCTGCAGAAAGAACTAGCCTGATTGCCCTGCTTGAACGTGATTTTCGGGCAGCCGCGCCGCTGTCGCGCGTGCTTTGCCGACCACAGCGTCGTTGCTGTGAGGAGGGAGGCCGGGCGGCGGCGCGCCAGGGCGGCCGGGCGCCAGGGCGGGTACGCCCGGCAACCGCAGGCCCGCGTGTCGCAACGTCAACTCACGGCCTCTGACACACCGATCCTTCACCCCGCCGCGCACTCAATGTCATCGGCCTGTTCGGCCTCAGAACGTCAGACATGTGGTGCGCAGCTGGTGACGACACTACGGTGCCGGCGCTAAGCACGCTTCCAGAGGAGTCAGTGACGGGGATGGCGGGGTAGTACCAGGACAGGGAACTCGCATCGGCTTCCTGTTGATTTCAGCCCGCCTGGTCGCACATGAAATATTGGCAGCACTCGGTGAACTATTAACGCCCATGTCATCAATGCTAGCTATAAGAAAATATGTACGCTTCACGGACACATGGACCGTCAACAGGTCCGACCTGATTGTATCTCGAAGTTATTTCGAGATTTCTACCAATGTTATGCAGTTATGAGGAGCACGCTGCAAAAAGTCCCCTGGCCAACTTCACTGATTAAGCACATGGCGATGAAAAGACATGGTTTGAGGCCGAGATCCGGTTTTTCGGTATTGAAATATCCGGGCGGGTCTACTGGACCATTCAGAATTTTACGTACAAGACCAAATAAATATTCAGGTGAACGTGTGGTGAGCGGGTCATGGACATATTTCCGAGTACGTTATGGGTCTACAGGCTATGGCATCAAGGAGGATCGTCAATATTTATGGTGGGAATAGCAGATCCGTGATGTTGTACATGCATAAATAAGCCAGCCAAAGGGTCAGAGCGAAGAATAGATGTTGTTTCTACTACCTACGTAGACCACTCTTTCGCGAGTGGCCCACAAACCAGGAGCTCGAGGGTTTCCTTGCTTGAATCAAGCGTTGCAGGCTTTTTCCCATCAAGCCTTACAGAAATATGGAGGGCTTCATGGGAAGAACTGTAAGGCTTAATGGAAAAACTGCAAGGCCTGATGGAAAAAGTGCAAGGCTTGATTTAAGCAAGAGAACCCCCGAGCTTCTGCTTTATCGGCAATATGAGTTTGGAGCTCCTAAGTTGGCAGCAATCGTCCTTCAATATACCAGTAGGCACTGGTTACTCGACGCAGTCAGGCAAATAACGCCAACGTTTGTTCGAACACGTCGCTATAAACCCGCTACCTACCGGTATATTGAGGTATGTGTGTAGGCCGATTATTGTCGGCATAAGACCTTTGAAATCATAATGCACTGCAAGCTTTCGGTCTAAGCGCTTCGATAGTTCTACGACTTGTTTTCGCGGGGGCGGGCGCTTAGATGAGTCTGATACCAGCGGTGGTGTGCCGGCAATGGGAGCCTGATACACCGGTGGTGTGCCGGCAATGGGAGCCTGATACACCGGTGGAGTGTGCCGCAATGGGAGCCTGAATACAGCGGGGTGGTGCCGGCAATGGGAGCCCTGATACCACCAGGTGGCTGTGCCGTCAATGGGAGCCTGATACACCGGTCGGATGTGCCGGCAATGGGAGCCTGATACACCGGATGGTGGTGCCGGGCAATTGGGAGTCTGATACACCGGTGGTGTGCCGGCAATGGGAGCCTGATACACCGGTGGTGTGCCGGCAATGGGAGTCTGATACAGCGTGGTGTGCCGGCAATGGGAGCCTGAACACCGGTGGTGTGCGGGCAATGGGAGCCTGATACACCGGTGGTGTGCCGGCAATGGGAGCCTGATACACCGGTCGTGTGCGGCAATGGGAGCTGATACACCGGTGGGTGCCAGCAATGGGAGTCTGATACACCGGTGGTGCGCCGGCAATGGGAGCCTGATACACCGGTGGCGTGCCGGCATGGGAGCCTGACACACCGGTGGTGTGCCGGCAATGGGAGCCTGATACACCGGTGGTGGCCGGCAATGGGAGCCGATACACCGGTGGTGTGCCGGCAATGGGAGCCTGATACACCGGTGGTGTGGCGGCAATGGGAGTCTGATACACCGGTGGTGTGCCGGCAATGGGAGCCTGATACACCGGTGGTGTGGCGGCAGTGGGAGTCTGATACACCGGTGGTGTGCCGGCAATGGGAGTCTGATACACCGGTGGTGTGCCGGCAATGGGAGCCTGATACACCGGCGGTGTGCCGGCAATGGGAGCCTGATACACCGGCGGTGTGCTGGCAGTGGGAGCCTGATACACCGGTGGTGTACCGGCAATGGGAGCCTGATACACCGGTGGTGCGCCGGCAATGGGAGCCTGATACACCGGTGGTGTGGCGGCAGTGGGAGTCTGATGCACCGGTGGTGTGCCGGCAATGGGAGTCTGATACACCGGTGGTGTGCCGGCAATGGGAGCCTGATACACCGGTGGTGTGCCGGCAATGGGAGCCTGATACACCGGTGGTGCGCCGGCAATGGGAGCCTGATACACCGGTGGTGTGCCGGCAATGGGAGCCTGATACACCGGTGGTGCGCCGGCAATGGGAGCCTGATACACCGGTGGTGTGCCGGCAATGCCGCGCAGCTCGCTCCCCCTGGAATTCGAGCCCGTCAGACTGGACGGCATGCACTCGATGGTATCCCTTCGGGCACAGACCCGTCATAATCAGCTCTAAATTAGATTTCGAAAATTCAGCCTAAGCGCTTTTCGCAGATATTCATGTTCTTTATAGGAAGGTAATAGAATGTTTTCAAATAGTTGAACACTAATCCGGCATCGGCTCATTTGCAAAATCCGGATATTTGGCCGAACGTTCGAATCTTCGTCGAATTCAAGCGCCCAGCTCTAATCTGAACCCTCAGGCGCGTCCGGTTCTGCACATCTCCCCGATTTCGCAACATCTGGCGCCGCTGCAGCGTCGCCGCCGAGCGGCATCAGGTACAGCGGTGGGCGCCGCATGCCACGGCCGCCCGGGCCGCGACAAACACGGGCCCCGTGCGCCGGCCCTCGTCAAGACGGCGCGCTTGAGTCAGCGGCGCTCTGCAGGCACGCTGTTTATGCGCCGGCTGCAGCGACACCGGCCAAGGGTCGCCGGCGACATGCAGAGGTCAGGCGGCGGCTGGTGCTCCCGAGCCGGGCTGCAGGCCGCCATCGGCGCGGCCGCGCACGTGGGAGGCGGCCGCCGGCGCCGCCTGACCCCGCAGCGGCGGTCGGCGACGGCGGACCGCCCACCGCACCAGCGCACGCGCACCACCTCTGCGCGAGGCTGCTGGCTTTCTGGTGCTCTGCCCGTGCCTGGTGGGCAGGGCTGTGGCGCCATTAATCCAACTGACAAACGTGAGCCGCACATGAAGTGAAACTGGAGAGCTCGCATTTTAAGAGGCAGCGAGACCTCAGCCGCCTCTGAACTGTCGAAATTGCCATGCGCCTTGTCCGCCCATCAAAGGATGAGTTTAAGACCGGCTAAAGCCTGCCCATTACGGTGAATCTGCAGCAGTCCATTTACTCCAGGTTAGATCGTAGCTGGAAACATCAGGGGCTGACTGGTTCAAGATGCTCCTCGGCGCTTCTCCCACGGCTCCCTCCGGGGATAGCTTTATATAAGTATTGCCAGGGGGCGCCATGAGATTGTTCGGTAAGTCGAGACTATTGGCATTCAACACAAGTGAATGCTAGTCATTGTCCGTCGCCGAAACAGTCAACCTCTTCTGTCCGAGGTAAACCTTTTTTGCATTGGCATTACCCACTTTTGAGCTTCCGAAGTTCAACTATAATGGCGGATTTCGGCTCTGTAGCTCAACTGCAGCGCACTGCATCCCTGTTTTGAATCAAAACTTGTTGTTCATCGACGCATCATCGCCCGACACTTGCAGTATCGACTACTGACCGCACTGCGACGTGTACGGTTACATCACACAGCTAAACCACACTCACTTCATGCTTACCGAGCAAACACGTCAGCAAACTGTCACAGCGTGGGTAAGCACCGGCCGGCAGAAAAACCGTCCAAGACGAACGAGCAGGATATGACCCCGACAACATGGTGCAGGATGCCCCGCGGTCATCACCGCGCGGCGATCCCGGCGCGCCTACCAGCAGATCAGGCCCTGTCCCAGCGCGCACGGGGACCCCCTCCGGCACGGGCTAGAACGGCTGGGGGACACCGCCCTGAGGTGGCCGTAGCCGCCGGAAAGCACCCCTAGAGTCTGACTCAAGACCCATGGCTCTTCACGCAGAAGTCAAGTGCTTTGAGGCGAGACGCCACACGCCATACGTTGCCAAAAAATGCATAAAATTCCCCTCTAATGAACGCGATGCTATAAGACAGTCCTAAGTAGCAACTATATTCTCAGAGCTTTACTCCAAGTAGAACAACAAAAAAGAGAAGAAATGAAAGGAAGAAAACTTTAAGTATTGACTAGTCGTTCGCCGTCCACAATCCCCACACTAGCAAGCATACGCCAAATGCATTTACTAGTAACTTGGAGAAAATGAGAGCAAACGCGTGTCACCCGCAGTAGTAGATGGCATGACTTGAGCCACATGTTCATAGAACCCCAACACAAGCCGCCATTGGCAGAGCGCCGCGGCTCAGCGGCATGAGCTCACCTTGAGAAGGTCACGGAAGTACTGACTGCAGGCCGAAAGAATGACCTTGTGCGCCTTCAGGCTCCTGCCCTCGCAGGCCAGCGTCACGTCCACGAAGTCCTCCTCCGATCGGAGGTACTCGAACGACGAGATGATGTTGTTCTGGAAGTTGTTCCATCGCAGGCAAAACTGTTGGTCCGCCATTTTGTGTCTGGAACAGGAGCACGCCCAAACTGCAAAATCTGGAAATGGATGGAAATCATGGTTGCAGCTAAATGCCAGTAACATTACCACGAATGCTAACATTGACTTCAGCCAATCATGACGTTGGATTAAGGTTCGTGTGCGCATGCCACAGCGCATGCATCTGGAGGACATCACGGGAGACACCAAAACGCACGTTAGCGCGGTGATGCCTCCGAAATTACAACTCCATGGATTCCACACCGCAGGATTGGAATTCGTGTGACAGCTGGCTCTGCTCGGTATTCACCCCACCACACTTTACTCCGGACTCAACCGCGCAGACCTCGTCCTATCGCTAGGGCTCTTCCCACCTCGACGATTTGTAAAGACATGCGTGATCAGAACCACTTTTCATAGATCGTAGATAAGTAGTAGTGAGCTATAGTAGAACGCTCTGGGAAAAATCGGATTCATAATTATTCTAAGTTAAATAAGTAAGATGAAGACGATTTCGCTGCTTCGAAACTTACATTACGAACAAGCTAACCAATTTTCGCGCAAATTTGAGCACGAGTGACTACTTTGCGCTTTACGTTTGCATTTCACAGCCACGATCAAGTCACGGGCAACGTTCTGCGCACATTTATGTCCAGGGAAAACAAACATAAACAAAAGTCGTTGTGAGTTCGTATCTGTATATGCTGAGGAAGTTGTAGCTTACATAAACAGGTTTGACTTTGGCTGAATCCTAACTAAACGGCAAAATACTGTGCAACCTATACAATACGTACTGCTTAGTGACATATATATATATATATATATATATAATATATATATATATATGACAATCAGGAAACGGACAAGTTCTAGACAGAATGCTTCAAGCAATAACGTTTTGCCTTTATAAGGATACTCGCCTTAGTAGAGCGAGGTGCTCCCAACTATCCCTCTCAATCATCGCCAGCAGTTAACAGACAAATGGGTACATGACATACAATTTTAACCAGTAGGTATGCACCCATCCCATGTTAATGCTCGCGACAAATGCGCGTTGATTGCTCACATCGACGCGTCCATTAACACAGATTAAGCCCAGAGCTCAGTCTGAAAGCCTAGTTTGTGAGGACGTCAGCTTCCCTTGCAATGCTGCAATATTGACGAGTTTTGACTTCACTGATTGAGAATGAAGTAGCTATGTCGTAGCCATGTTCCCCCAGTCCTCATGAAGGCAGAAGCCATGGACTGGCCAGTCTAGCAGCTCCATGTCCAACATGCATCGCGAAGTCGCACAACTGATTGCAAATTGTGTGCATCGCTTCTTACATTCACTCGCCTTTCATGTCTTCTACTTCTCCTTATAGCAGACGTCCGACTTTATCCCTTCATGTGCACAACTTAACC